CTCCAATATTTTAATTGTATTTTGTTACGTATCTTACTCATATCTTGAGATACTGCTGGATCAATTTGATTATATAAAAAGTATTTTTTTAATAGTTTCGCTGCATCAAGTGCTTGTTTGATGCTTGGTGGAGGGACAGGATCGTCTTCTTCAACAACGTACACAGCTGCAGTTCTTATCTATTTCGGCAACTTAGAAAGTACTGCATAATGAATTATAATGCCGCATTGTCGTCGTTAAATAGAGTGAGCGTGACGCTATATAGAGTGTAATATTGTATAGAAAACAATGTAAACCAACCAGTCAAGCAATTTCAACGTTTTAAGGAATTTGTCGTTAAATCGAGTGACGTTATAAAGAGTTTACAGTGTATTTTAAAACGTACAAATCTCATACGAATCTCAAAATTAATATAAATAAATCTCTCGCTTACGTCACCTTGTATATCGTAATTACGGCAGGATAACTTACTTGCATTGTTTTCGTAGTCTTTTTCTTGTACGATATTGATTACTTGACCATCGGGCTGATTACTATTTATTTGATGGTCTTGATTAGTAGTTAGTTGCGGTAAATTAAAACCTCCCATGGAAGACGAATCCTTATTGTTTTTCGGGGCCGGACAGGCGGAATGCTGTCCCGTAGCTACGCTTTGATAGAAGAAATTTTCTTCGTTCCAACGAGGCGCCCCGTAGGAACGACATTTGCCCAGTACTTTATCCCAAGCGCAGTAAGGATCTTGTAAAGCAACGCATTCGCTAGTAACAAAAAAGAAAACAAAACATTTAATGTTAAAAATTAAATAAACAATTACTTGAAACGAGATAGTGGTACACAGTATCTATAAATTCTCATTTAGGTCAGTCATACAAAGTTGGTACATTTAAATTATTTCTTTAAAACTGCAAGCTAACACCCACTTATCTATTGGGTTAGTAGGTCAATTAAATAGTAGAATTAATGATTATTAAAGGGGTCGAATCTGCGATCACGAAAAAGTAAATAATACAGGGTGGTGAAACGGCTTTTTTGAGCAAGTAAATTATTTTTATCAATTAGCTAACATGAAATTGTTATTTTAAATTATACAAATTCGCTTTTAATATTAAAGTCTTTGAAATATTCGAAAAAGACTAATCGCCCGTTATTTGCAATGATTTTACTCAATATATATTTTTAGTCATGTGCACAGTACCACGATGAGCTATTTGAATTTTTTGCAGATTTCATTCCATTTTAGTTTGAGACCACTGCCGACCATATATACATGATATATGCAGGGCCGTAGCCAGGGGTACGCAAATAATACACACTGTACATCATGTAATAGCATAAATGTTTTTGTTTTAATTTTCTATTAGTATTATTATTTGCATTACCTGCAACTTGAAATTTTGTTACTGTCGCACCGATGTAGTCTCAATGACTGTATCTCTGAATCAGAAACTACAACGAGTCTTCCGTCGTCTTTATCACTGTGTAGCACTTGGATGCCCCTCACTGCAGCGTGAACTGGGAAAACTTGTATTTCTTCAATAACAACAGGTCTGACACCTTCTTTGGTGTCGGCTGATAGTGCATTTACAGCCTTTATTACTTTTCCATTATCTGAATAAAAAATAAAGTGAAATGTCCAAAAGTTATTCTTCAGAGCCACATCAATAAGTTTTTCAATTACCTGTTCCTATGAAGAGTACGTCGTATGTTTTGCCCCCGGGTACGCGAATTTGCGGGTCCACGGCAATTTGAGTAAAACGGTAGCTGTAAAATTTGTGAATTAAATAGAGACCATAATTATATAGACAAATTAATTATATTGGGACTCGGGCAACGAAAAGGGTCTTGATAGATTAACACAGAGCCGGGCAAACTCGGCTCTTTTGGCCCCCCAGTGCTCCTCAGGTATAGCTAAGAAACTCCTCATTGCTCCTGCGAGTGCGAGTGAGATGATTCTTTCCTTTTCTTATCCCTTCCATTTCGTAGGTGAGTCCCCTCTTCCCTAGTCGAATCCAATAGTATTGCTACCCCTGAGCTGCGGGACGATCATTAGAAAATTTTCGAGGGAGGCTTCGCTCGTCTACGGGATGAAGGGGCTCGATATGAGGGTAGAAGGGAGAAGAAAAAGAGAAAGCAATATGGGTCATTACTGTTTACTCTCTCGTACTCATTGAAGGGTGTGGAGTGACCCAAACTAACCTCAGGTAGAGGCTCCTACGAAGTTAAAGTTTGCCAGGCTCTGGATTAGCAGAAGAATAATGCGGTAATCCTGTAAGGGTTCTTTTTTCTTTTTAAGGTACGGAACCCTAAAAATTAACCAAATATAATCGTACTTACTGGAAGCTGGTTCTAATTACAATTGGTTGTCCAAAGAAAGAAGGCACACTTTCATCCATCAGCGAGTGCGTTTTGATGAAATTAAGTGTAAGATCGGGCAATGTGCGACTGTCGTTGTGACACTGTCCAGGTCGAGGGTCGGGTACTTTTGACGGGGGCACCGCTAGCCAATTGGCGTTTAGTGCTGCTTGCTCTTTAAAATTGCCTTCAAAAGCGTCTGTTATGGCACGAAGGGAAAATGCACACACAGCACTTCCCGATATACTGTTCGTCGGTGTTGTAAACGTACCGTAAACCAACTGAGCTGGCTGATCGCCATACACACCCTCGATTAAATCAGTAGTTGATTCTGTAATGCAGAAGAAACATTTCAGAAAAATTTTATTACAGACATTCTGTTCATTCAGTTTTGTTAAAAACGGGTGATAATTTTCATTCTTACGATAGTTGGATTTCAGAAATTATATCGTAACAACGCTTGGTATATTAGTTTGTTTGTGAAATTAGAATATCTCCTAAAAGTGCCCCGTCTTCTCTTCTCAGTTCCTTGCGCTACATCATGCCGAAGATGTATATTTTAATAATTTTTAAACATCAATGTGAATTTAATTTAATTTCTACCGTTACGCACCAGAATGCTCTTAAAATTAGGGATCGTGTTCGATTCCCGGTGAGGGTTTGACAGCAGCAACAAATGTTTCCTCATACGTTTGGGGTAATGTGTAGTGGTAGAAATTAAATTAAGTTGCTATTTCTTCCCCATTAACAATTGTATTAAGCAAAAAATCAAGCTATGTATGGAGCAAAGGTTTTTTTTATTTATGTGAAACCAACAACCTACGTTTCGCACTTAAACCTAACCCTGAAGATGCCTCATAATTAAATGCGAAACGTAAGTTATTGGTTTTACATAACTAAAAAGACCTTTGCTCCGTATATAACATAGTTTGATTTTTTACTTCATGAAATATTAACTGTTACTGAAAGTAAAATTTGTTGACGAGATAATTTGAATGTTTGTAGTGCTAATTCAATGTATTAGTGAATTAATTTTACCCACTACAGATAACCTCAAATTAATGACGAATGCTGTTACCTTCTTGTTGCTTTAGGGAGTATCAGNGACAAAAAAACCTGAATCCGAGACAAATATTGCTTCTAGAAAAATCCGGGAAGCAAGGTGGAAATCCGGGACGTATGGTCACCTTACTAATAGCTACTGTACAAGGCATTATGTTTGAAATTCTTAAAAAGGCGAATTGAATCATGTTCTACATATCTGTGTAAAATACACAATATATGTTTCGGGTTTAGTTTACTTCGAGGTAACAGAAGTCGAGCAGAAGATGGTGGAGCAGGAGGAATAGGGGAAATAAACAAATTCCTGCAAACAAAAGGAAGGACATGACCACGACTTCGTTTGTGTTGTCTTTGCTTACCGTAACCTTATAATTCTGTGCAATAAAATAAAAACATTCATTATTCATTTAACGGCGACAAACTTGAAAAGGGGTAATGTTCTCCTAAAAGTGCCCCGTCTTCTCTTCTCAGTTCCTTGCGCTACATCATGCCGAAGATGTATATTTTAATAATTTTTAAACATCAATGTGAATTTAATTTAATTTCTACCGTTACGCACCAGAATGCTCTTAAAATTAGGGATCGTGTTCGATTCCCGGTGAGGGTTTGACAGCAGCAACAAATGTTTCCTCATACGTTTGGGGTAATGTGTAGTGGTAGAAATTAAATTAAGTTGCTATTTCTTCCCCATTAACAATTGTATTAAGCAAAAAATCAAGCTATGTATGGAGCAAAGGTTTTTTTTATTTATGTGAAACCAACAACCTACGTTTCGCACTTAAACCTAACCCTGAAGATGCCTCATAATTAAATGCGAAACGTAAGTTATTGGTTTTACATAACTAAAAAGACCTTTGCTCCGTATATAACATAGTTTGATTTTTTACTTCATGAAATATTAACTGTTACTGAAAGTAAAATTTGTTGACGAGATAATTTGAATGTTTGTAGTGCTAATTCAATGTATTAGTGAATTAATTTTACCCACTACAGATAACCTCAAATTAATGACGAATGCTGTTACCTTCTTGTTGCTTTAGGGAGTATCAGCAGCAACAATTTTTTGTCGTTAATTTGAGGTTATCTGTGATCATCATCATCACAGGGTCGTCAGTCCTAAGACTGGTTGGACACGTACCTCCACTCATTCCTATCCTGAGCTAAATTTCGCATTTCCCTTAAACTAGAACAACCCACATCCTTAACTATTTGCGAAGAGTAATCTAACCTAGGTCTACCTCTACCCTTCCTAATTCATTCCTGTTTTTGCCTCTAATATCTCTCTGACTAGACCTTCATGCCTAAGAAGGTGTCCTACCAACCTAACTCGCCTATTTTTTATTGACTTCCATAGAATCCTCTATTCTTCTATTCTTTCTAATACCTCTTCATTTCCAACCTTCTCTATCCACGGTGTCCTCATCATTCGTCTATAACACCACATTTCGAACGCTTCTAACCTTTTGTTTTCCGCCGTGACTACCGCTAATTAATCTTAAGCTACTCGATCCTGCGCTATCCTCTGCTAAAATCCCTACTACTCCTTCCGTTCTGACTTATCTGACTTCCTAGATACCTAAAGAGGTGTTAGAAATAATAGGAGAACAGAGTCTCCTATTATTTCTAACACCTCTTCATTTCTAACCTTTTCTACCCACGTTATCCTCATAATTCGCCTATAACACCACATTTCGAAGGCTTCTAACCTTTTCTTTTCCGCAGCGCCCCCGCGTCCTGACTTATCTGACATCCTCATGTTTTACAATTTCCCCCTGTATCCCATCTATACCTGGCGTCTTATTATTCATTAAGTTTTTTAATGCTACATCGAACTCTTCTCTCATTATGGGATAACCAAGCTCATCTATCTCCACACTATCTTCCTTCTCTAATACATCTCCTAACACACGTAAAGGTTCTCTAAATATTCTTTCCACCGATCTGCCTTTTCCTCGTTTCCTATCAAAATGACCCCTGCCTCGTTTCTTATATTAATACTACTGTATCCTACCTCTCTAAAATTCCTTTTAATTATATTATACGCCTCATCGGTTTTACCTACTTCAAACTTTTCTTCTACTTCTTTACACATCCTATCAATCCACTGTTCCTTAGCTGCCCTACACTTCCTAATTATTTCCCACTTTATAGCTTTATATCTTTTTTGCCCTTCTTCCTCTGTCCTGTTTTTGTATTTCCGCCTTTCGTCTATTAATCCTACAATATCATTTGTTATCCAGGGTTTCTTACTTTCGTTTGGTTTAAGACCTAGTATATCTGTAGCTGCTGACTATAGGCACGTTTTAATGTAGTGGTTATCTGTAGCAGGTAAAATTAATTCATTAATACGCTAAAATTTCTTACGTCTTTTTTATTAAATGTATATTGTTTTCAAAATTTTGTGCAATAACATCTTCTTTTAGATTTCCATTTTCCCCGCCACAATGAAGCTTTTGCTTTTCTTCCCTTTTCCTTCCGTCTCCGCTACGAAGGCGAAGTAAACTAGACCCGAGCCTAATATAGATATTGATGTTGAAAACTTTCAGATTATTTTTTCTGATAAAATCCGTGAAAGAATTCTAATAAAACGAAGTTGAAAAAGAGCGCAGAAATTCTGCCTACGATTTTTCAAAGACCATAATCGCCAACGCGAACAGCCAGTATCGTAAAAAACTTTATAAAACGCAAGAATCGAGATAAAAAGGGGGAGCGACAGTAAACCGTAAACGGGACTGCTTTTCAACTTTATCTCGTACTTATTTTGGATACGTTGTGTTTTATAAGCCGCATGGTAAAATTCTGATTTGCTACCATTATTTCTCGAGTACAGAGCTGCGGGGATGGAACAGCGGATGAAGCTTTTCATCGTAAATCTTCGTGGAAAAATTTTAAAGTTCATGAAGCGACAGAGAATGTTCAGCTACAAGTGTTGAAGGGCTTCTTTAACGCAAAAGCATGACTGACAAACTTGACCAGAAATTTTACAGGCGCCAATAAATTAGTAAATTTATGGTAACCTGCGTTTAATCTACTTGTAAGTATCGTCTGAGGGGAAATTTACTTCTCTTGTGAATAATGCCGGGGTGAACATAACGACTTTCGACACGCATGCAAAATTTAATATTCAAACGGATTCAGTTCATTCATAATATCGTATAATATGCACCACGTGTTGTAACGACAAAATGTGATGTAATTTATTTTAACAACATTGCTTAAAATAATTTAAACATTTTATATATATTAACGCTATTTTCATGCAGTTTTTGAATACTTATGTATTACATGCAACGAAAAAAGATGCCTATTTTCGATATTCCGATAAAGTTTCAAAAAGTTACAGTATTATTTGTTATCATAATCTTCAAGTATGAATCCAAAAATAAAAAAAAGATGAACACTAGAGCGCGACGCTGTAAGGGTGCGAAACATGGACGGTGGGCGCTACGGAAAAGAAAAGAGTAGAAACATTCGAAATGTCGTGTTACAGGCAAATGATGACGATGCCGTGGATAGAGAAGGTTAGAAATGTAGAGGTATTAGAAAGAATAGGAGAACGGAGGACTCTATGGGAGTCAATAAGAAATAGGCGAGATAGGTTGGTAGGACAAATTCTAAGGTACGAAGGTCTAGTCAGAAACATATTAGAGGCAGAAACGGGAGTCAGGAGGGGTAGAGGTATACCTATATTAGATTACTGTTCGCAAATAGTTAAGTATGTGGGTTGTTTTAGTTTTAGTAAATTGCGAAGATTAGCTCAAGATAGGAAAGAGTGGAGGTGCGTTCCCAACCAGTCTTAGGACTGACGACCTTATGATGCTGATGAGGTCTAGGCCAACCATTTTCCTAAACGATTATTAAAAACGCTATTTTATGATTATTAATTGCTAAATGATTATAGACGAAACAGAAGATTAGATATAGAATATTGAAAAGCTTGAGTGCTTTTACTTTTCTTATACATGTATAGATATACACTGTACGATACATATTTGCTTATAAAACTTGTTTGTGATTCAATTTTTCAATTTTATAAATAGAAGGAAACTTCAAAATAACATGAACATCTGCAAAGAACGGTTAGCGAACCGTTAAATTTGATCAAAGCAAGCTGGTTCAATTTTATGTACATATGTAGGTGCGTACCTCTACCAAAAACGCCTTTAAACTTTGAAGCCAGAAATGAGATAAAGTGAAGCCTAAATACGGGCTACAAAGTAAGTATCATTCTGGTCGTCGTGTTTTGTACTTAATGTGCTTTTGCATTCTACTGAAACAATAATCGATTTTCTGTTTTAACACATGAGAAGCGATTCTTTTTACATTTTCTTTCTTTATTCGAAACTTATTGACATTTTTCGCTCATGAACATCAAAAAAATTTTTAACTACATACTTAAGCAGGGGCGGCCTTAGGAAGTGGCAAGTTGGGCCACCGCAAGGGGCCTCTCTCTTACTGGGACTTGACGCACTCATGTAATTTTCCAAGTGGAAACATATTAGGTACTAATAGTAGCAGTGTTTATTTGAATTTCTGTTAATGTTTTGCCAATACATTGAAGATCTCATCTCTCACAGTATTCTGTTTCATTCACTCATTCATTTTTAATAGTATGAGTTTTAAAAAAAATCTGTTCGATTTTTTAAAATTTTCTTTTATACAAACCTAGACGAAGATTTTAAATATTAAAAGTGTTGTAGGTACTTACGTATTTCATTAAAATAAAAGGGAAATTCCCCACTAACGGAACAATTCAGTCTCGATTTGAGGAATGAAGTCCATCGATTGCGAAATCGATGTGGACCTCCTTTGTCGTATTTGCATACTCTTGCGACTCTTGAGTACACAGCCTGTAAAAGAAAATACGAAAAATGTTCCAAGGAAGGTGTCACTAGATAGTTAGAATAAATAAATAACAGGAATATTTTTAACGATAAGTCTGGAAATTCAAAACATCATTTTATATACGGGGGATAAGAAATAAATTACACAGTTAGACTTCTTTTCCATTTCATTCTAATTTTAGGTGACCCATGAGATAGCTTTATTGATATTAGAAAGGGTTTGTAGTAGTAGATGAGTATAGAATGATTAATTTATAATTACGTCTTCTCTAAAATTTTTAGTGTCGCAATGCGTCTTATTGTTAGACTTTTAATTTACTTTGTTATTAAGTTATTCTAATAGACAAAGGGGTTCAAAAATCTTATAAAATGAAAAGAAAAATTGGTAGAAAAGTAAGATATGTGGGTATCAATTTTAATGTATCCTTCTTGATACCTAGGTATTCAACCATTCAAACAAAAACATAATGACGGACTACACACGCCATTGTGTGAGCAACCAAAAAAATATAAACATAACTTGTAATTTATTTTTGATGCCAAAAACAAAAACATACGAAAATATTGTTCACCACATCGTGACTTAATCATGTGTTTACTACAAATTAGGTATTACAGGGCGGTGAACCGATTTTGTTGAGAATTGTAGCCAATAAATATTCAAATGTGTTTTTTCTCATCAAATTATAGTCCATTAAAAGTTACAGTTTATAGGCGTGCAATTTAGGCACATTTATAAACATTAATACAGTACAACCTCGATTTGTTGTTCGGATTATCACATTGTTCGTATTATCAATTAGACACATGATTATCAATTAGACACATGTTAGACACAGATATTTATATATAAACTTTATTTTTTAAATAAATCTAGAACATAAAAAAGTTGTAAGATGTAACCATAGCTTCCGGACTCTAAACTTTTAATAATATTAACATTTTTCTATATTGATAATGCAATATGTTTGCGTTTTGGCGCCATTTTATAGCTGTTAACGTAATAGTTTAGTAAAACGGACAAAATGTAAGATTTTGCAAAACTTCAGCAGTGGCTTCAGGAGCGAGGTGACGTTGCCACGCCTGCGCTGTTCGAACTTGTTCGAACTATCAAGGTTGGTTCAGATTATGACTTCCAACTGTTCGTTGTTCAAACTAGCGGAGGTTCGGATTAACGCATGTTCGAATTATCGAGGTTGTACTGTATTTAAATAAATTAAAAGGAAAATGTGAATTCCACGTGAACGGAGTTCCGAGAAAAGCTACATATAGCAACGTATCCTTATAAAGAAAGAGATTTTCCTACTTCGGAGTTTCATTTTAATATATCTGTTTTAAAACTCCGTCCTTTATCTTAATTTACTATTGACAATTGTGTATAACTGAGACGCGATGAAAATTCATGAAGAGTATTTTTAACTAAGAAAAAAAAAATGTAAAAATCGATTGGTCTGACCTTTCCGCAGTTGATGTATTCAACTGCCGTTTCCCTGAAGAAAAAATAAACGTAGTCGCCCTGTGTCATCGAATTGACGAAGTCGGGAGCTGAAAAAATAAAAGAAAAAGGAGCGTTACAGTTTAGAGAAAATCGTGAATAGGGAAGTGCGATTATTCTGGACAATTTAAAGACGACCTACCATTGAGACTCATCGAGTCGTATTGTTCAGTCTGTAAGGGCTCCCGATAGATAATGGGATCCATTCCGCTAAAATCTGCCACTGTTCCAGTGTACAAATCGCCATCTGAAACAATCGAAAAAAGCTTTCCTTTAGATTGCAACCGTGCGCTGATTTCTTTCTTTCTTTTTTCTTTTGGCTTTTATCCATTGCGGATGGTTTCGACTGATGGCGAAATTGTTATTTTATTTAAAGTCGCGCCATCGACTGTGTCGTCATAGTTAGGTGACTCAAATTTATTGTGATCGAATCGTGATAAAATAAAAACGGTTGTGTGAAGAAAATGCGAATGATAAAAGTGAATAAGAATTAAGTACCTAATTGTCTAATGTTTCTTTTTTATTATTTATTCTAAAATTCACCCATTTAATAAATACAAAAAAGTAATTTTTATAGGGTCAATGATGGTAGTAAGAGATCTTGAAAAAGTTGGACAGAAAAGAGACTCCTATAATAAATTTATTTCAAATTATTCTTGGTTTTATACACATAATCAGCTTATTTACTTAAACATCTTTCATTAATAGGTAAATAAAAATAAGGTTATTAATCAAATTTTACAACTAGAGATGGAAGTATAAACTTTCCTCAATCTTCTGGGCATGCGCATGACGTCACGTGCCCCTTTTTTGGTGGTGATTGACTAGAGAGCACGTAGAAGTTAATACTAAATAAAAATATTGTGATAACATGTACGCATAGGCAAATTTAAGCCATCTCATTTTGATTGTATAAGTGTGGGAATAACGTGAATATATGTAATTGATAATAGAATCACAACACATGTTTTTATATTTATTTCATATTGTGAAGAATTAAACAAAAAAAACTTGATAGATAATTATAATCCAAAGGTTATTTTATTCCATTTTTATCTTCATCGCAAACGATGTATGTACGAATTTTTTTATCGCATAAAATGTAATTGTTTTCTTTTACACGTGTTGATTTAATCTCATAAAAATGAATTTGAATGTCGTTATGAAATGGTGGACTGGTCTCGTTTGTGGTGTCAAAGTTATAAATATTTTCTGAATTTTTCATATCTATATGTAAATTCGTTATCTTTTGATCTTCATTTTAAATTCAGAGTTTCCAGTGAACCGGTAATTTACATCCGTATCATATGATGTACAGGGTGAATTTTCTAATTCCACTCTCCCCTTTTTTTATCTTTATAGGTAGATACTGATATTTTGAAAATTTAAAATAATGGTTTGTATACTAGTTTTTGTGGTGATTTCAAATGTGCTACTAAAATTTTCATATGCAGTATATGCAAATATCTTTTTAAACGGAACATCCAGTATATTAGCTAGAGATTCCCTTTATACTTTTGTGAGTATATGGTTGAGTGAAAGGGTCATGTATTGACATTATGTCCTGAATATTCAAAAATGTCAAAAAAGTTTATAGTGACAGTGTCACTGTCCACATGACTAAAGGTAGACATGTTGTGATCAAAAGCAAAGACTATAGAATCGGGAAGCTCTAGTTTACATTAACTGTAGGGCCGTAAAAACGTCACCTTAGTTTTACAAGATAAGTGAGGACGGAATAGCGCAGGGTCGAGTTGCCTTCAATAAAAAGAAGTCACTTCTACGCTGGCGAACGATTAATTTAGAAATTCGAATAAATTCGAAATGTTTGGAGCGCGACGCTGTACGGGTGCGAAACACGGACGGTGAGCGCAGCGGAAAAGAAGCGTTTGAAATGTAGTGTTACAGCCGAATGATGAGAATACCGTGGATAGAAAAGATTAGAAATGAAGAAGTATTAGAAAGAGTAAGAGAACAGAGGACTCTATGGAAGTCGATAAGAAATAGGCGAGATATGTTAGTAGGACACCTTCTCAGGCATGAAGGGCTAGTCAGAGACATATTGGAGAAAGAAACAAGAGTTAAAAGGAGTAGAGACCTAGATTAGATTACTATTCGCAAAGACAGATACTACAGTTTCAGGGAAATGCAAAGATTTGCTCAGGAGTGGAGGTGCGTGTCCAACCAGTCTTAAGACTGACGACATTATGATGATGATTAGTTTTATAGTGAATACTATATTAAGAGCAGCGTTAAGAACGGGTCCAGATCCAATATCCACTCGTTAGAAAATTTTTTCATAAAGAGCATTGGATGTTGGACATTCACGTACAGATCAGAAAAGGGGAAAAATTCCAAATTGATTCCTTAATTTCCACCGCAGACGTAACGAGATTAGTCAGTTTCATTAAGCATTACCAGGATAAATCAATTAAAGCACTGATACGTCAAAACTTAATTAATTAGAAAGCGAAGGAATTTGCCGCGTAACCGAGCTCCGCAGAATGGTCGCATTTTGTCCGTTTAAAATGGAAAACGGCAACGGATCGCATCGCGTTGGTCGCCGCCATCATCGTCGTATCTACACCTACTTCAGTCGACTGTGTTGTGTGATGACGTTCTTGCGGAAATTGCCGGTATTCATACGAAATTAACCGGCATACACTTTCCGAAGGCCAGAACAAGCTCAGGCCCTCACTATTCGCTGAATCGTGTGTTGATTAATCGGTTTAATGTGTCACTGCACACTCGCTTGTTAGGCTGCTGACGTGTTCTGATTTACCCTCGATTTGTATATGTACAGGTAGTAGCAAAGGCAGAAACGTAAAAAATTGCGCACGCTAAACTTCCAAGTGCAAAGTGCCACCCACTAATTGGATACGAGCCATTTGAAGAGTGCCTGCCTGCACACGTGAAATGGGTTTCGAACGAACGCCTCATTTGCAAAGATGATGATCGGTTGTTAGCTCGCGAACTATTATGTAGATGTAGCTTTAAAGCTTTTGGTATTATTAGGACCATTTCCTTCGCCTAGGATAGGATTAAAGATATTATAAATCAGTTAAACGGAAGGTATAAGGAAAATTTTGGAAATTAAACTATGAAAAAGAGGGTCATGTTATGAGTGTAGACCGTTCTTCTTGATGCAGGTCATAAAGCTCCTATATGCAGTTTTTAGAATATTTTGCAAATTTACAATTTTGTGTTTATTTGATATAGTACAGTGAATGAAGGTAAAAATTAACTATTACCTCCGATTTCGGTGAACCTCCATCTATTTGCATGAAACTTTGGGATTTAGTATATTTTACCCTTAACTTCAAAAGTGACATATGCTCGACTTGCGCTTTTTGCATTTTAGGGGTGAAATCCACCCCTTTTGTTAAAAATGAGGAAAATGCAGATTTAAGCATTCTGGAGTAAGTAATCTCGTTTAATTAGATAAAATAAATATTTTTCAACACTTATATGCATGATTTATGATTTTAATTAATTTTTCAACCCTTTTAGCAACCACCCCTTAAATCGAAAATCATGAAAAAACCATTTTTTTATCATGTATGTTTTGTGAGCATGTACCTATCGACACGTCTACTTCTTACTATCTATCTTTTTTCCTAATATACATACAAAATCTCTCTCCCAAAAAGTTTTCCAAAAAAATGTTATTGTTTTTTTTTACAATAACTCAATTAATTTTTATGATATCAGGTTCATC